TATATATATATATATATATATATATATATATATATATATATATATATATATTGCAACAATTGCAACGCGGGCTAGACGAGCGGAAAAGAAGAGGAAGAAGGACACTCTCGAGAAGTGGCTATTTGGCAGTGTCGGTTGAGCGTTGGCTTGTCAACCACTCTCATCCGTAACAGCCTTGGTGGGCACCGCAGCAGAAGACTTTTGAAGAAGCGGGCGCTTAGCTGTGCTACCGCCGGACATCAACATGACCGACGACACAGCAAGCCCGTTGACTGGCTACGCTGCTGCATCCACCAGTGCCACCAACATGCCACAAGGTGGCCATCGACCTCGACAACTTAACTACTGGATGCCTGAACCATGGATATTGTAAGGTAAAACTAATTAAGACGTGGATGCTTGGCTAAAGCACTACGAAAGAGTGAGCCGCTACTACGAATGGGGTGCACCGGCGAAGCTCGTGAACGTAGTATTCTTCCTTGCCGGGACCGCTTTGCTTTGGTTTGAGAACCATGAGCATGTGATCACCACTTGGGATATATTTGCTGAGGAACTCAAGGCCTGCTTTCGGGACACGAAATTTGTGAAAAAGAAAGCTGAGCAAACGCTCTCACTGAGGGCTCAGTTGCCCAGCGAAACGTGCACAACCTCTATTGAAGAGGTATTGAAGCTTTCCTGGATTGTAAACGCAAATAGGTCTGACGAAGATAAAGTCGGCCATTTGTTAAAAGGCACCGCCGAGGACGTGTACAACTTTCTCATAACAAAAAAAAAACGTGAACACTTCTTATTGCTTTCAGGTAGCAGTGTCGCGCATGCGAAGCTTTGAAAACCCGGAGAATTTTACCAAAGTTCGGGCGCATGGACAATGCTTCTACTGTTGCAAGTATGAACGTCACCACCTACGAAGACATTCCCTTCCTCGTACGTCGGGTAGTTCGAGAAAAGCTCGCACTGCTTTAAGCAGGTGACGATCACCACTGCTTGTTCGCCGCTTGCCCCGAACTACCTCCCTACTGGATGTGAGAGCGCTACGTTGAAAACCAACCACGCACAGAAACCGCAGATTTCACCCCGCGGCTTCCGTCTTCCCCGAGGGGTCATGGTCACCACCGGATGTCATCATCTCGGCCTCCGACCGTCGTCAACCAGGCCTCCGCCAGAAGACTACTATCCGCCGTCACGAAATGTTTCTGCAGAGCACGACCCGTCTCCGCGTACTTCTGCCGCCTTTGATCCTGCTAATGTAAGCCGAAAAGTCCCCGTTCCCTACACATGCGGTCTGCCAGGGCACATTTCGCGCTTCTGATCCAGCTGACCACTTGCGCCACCACGTTTTTGACGTACGCGGCTCGCATTCACGAAACGCGTGCGTCGCTACGTTTTTTTGACGTACCCGGCACGTATGCCCGAAACGCATGCGTTGCCACGTGTTTCGACGTACCCGGCTCGTATGCACGAAACGTGGATCTTTTACCCGGCCGACTGGCGTCCCCGAAAGCAGTGGCCTAACGAATCACGCAGCCAGTCACCCGCATCTGAGCGAAGCCTCACGCCGCCTTCGACATGTTCACCCCGGTCGCCGTCTCCGCGTCATCGTTCGCCTTTGCCGCACCAGCTGAGAAACAGCTGGTGCAACCGATGGATGTGGGGTTGTGAGACGGTCAGTTTCACCAATTCCTCCTTTTGCTGTGATGATGAACAAAGTGCGTGTGTACTCTTGCTCTTGTAGACACTGATGCTGCTATCTCGGTTATGAGTCTTCATTTCAAGCATCGTTTCTTGGGTCAGAAAAATTGTTCGCGTGGGATCGTAAAGAACCTTTTCGTGGAGTTGGAGGCGAAGCGCTAGGCCCTGATGATGTTTGCTCAGTTGTACTCACGATTGGTGGACAAAATTTCAGAGTTGAAGTCACTGTACTGGCTTGCGCAGCTGATGACGCCATTTTAGGGATAGACCTCCTTAGTGAATACGGTGCTACGCTTGACTGTGGAACTGGAGAAATTCTTTTACAAAGTACGTTGCCCACTGCCACAGTTGACAATTTTTCAACTTTCCCTATAGATCCGCTTTCGTTGTCTGAAGATGTGACGATCCCTGGTGGGACAGCAGCGTTTGTTCCCGTATGCTCTTTTCACGTCCGCTCAGGAACCTGCACTGGTCTTATCGGGCCCGATCATACAAACGCCATCAAGAAGAGTGTGCTGATCTCATGGTCTATCCTTACAGCTATAGGCGGACATGCTTGTTTGTGGGCGCTCAACGCAGCCTCAGAGCCTGTTTTTCTACCAACCGGATTTAAACTGGGCACGTTTTACGAGTAGGTGACACTTGACGTCAGAATGATCTAAGAGTCTCCAGCCATCAGTCAGACTGCGCCAAACTACTCAGCCGAGTTGAAACGCATGATAACAAGTCGTTGCTTTCTTTCAAGCAGGCTGTTCTAGAGGAGGTGCTTACATGCTATGCGGGAGTGTTTGATTTCGCTCAAGACAAGCGTTGTTCCATGTTACTCGAATCCCGTATGCACCACCGCATCAACACGAGAGATGCTACACCGATACGCCAGAAACTCAATTATGTATCCGCGTCAGAAAGGAAACTGATATCCGACCAGGTCAACGACATGCTGCAGAAAGACGTTATTCAGGAGTACGGTGTTAGAAGTAGTTTAGGTGGACCGACGGCACTTCTGGAAGCGAAGAACTTCTGTCGCCGTTTTTCGGAGAGGGTCTGAGATGGCACCTCAATGACCGTGGCTCAGGTGTACTATTGTACATTGTAGGCGTATGTCACTTCGGGGCCGCGAAAGCAACTCGGGAAAAAAAAACTTTTGCATTTGTTTGATGACGAGTGCAAAATTAAATAAATTGATAAAAGCGGCGAACAATTACCGGGACATTTTAATGATACAGCGTATAGATATCCATGGAAAATATTTCTTACACCACATCGAAGGTTTGAGATGGGAGCATATGTTTTCGCATTCACAAACATCCCATCGTGAGTTAAACATGAGACCGTAAAGTCTCGTGTAATTATGACAAATGTTAGTTCTTGGTTGAAGTAGTGTTTACGAAGTTGTTAGACTAAATAACTATCATGTCTACTTTATGTTAGATGGAAATGAGAGGTTATAGTTATTTAACACAAAGTCAATAGTCAAATCATTATACACCTTTATCGCCGGCGTGGTTATGATATTTTCGCTCAGCTTCTTTAAAAAAAGTAAATAGCACGGCATTAGGGTGCCTAAGTTCTCCTTTTCTCTTCGAAAATACAAGAGCTGATGCAGCTCTTGACACATGAAATGTCTCAGTCAGCCCAAGCTTGCAACAATTTATATTTTTTTCGGCAAAGAAGCCCGCATACATAATAAATTATGCAGTCGGTAACGCTGTCTGATGCAGGCATTGAGTTAAATACATCGTCGCACTCAATCTCACCTTGCACCAAGCCGTCAAGCCTGTTCTTAAGCTCATCTAAGCCTGACTGGCCGGTCAGATTCTCGTTGTGTTAAATCCCACAAGCGTCGCTCTTCACTAGGACGTAACTGGCAATTCGCGTACTTGGGTGAGTTAACGAGACTGTAAATGGATAACATGCTGTATAATTGCAAAATCGTCAGCAAGCATAAATGTTCATTTTGGCCTCCAGCTTGGCGTAACACCAAAACACTTTTCTGAAACATTTTCGCTAAACTTTGCTGCTAACACAGATTTGAAGCCGCATTTATTTAATAAGTAGACGGACAGCTCAATTGTCGACAGAATAGTCACTCGCAAGCCCACAGCAGTGGTTCGTGAAAAAAAATTGAGGATCAATTCGTTGTGCGTTCACTTCATTGTAGAAAGGACTATAGCACTTCAACATACTTTCCGCCAAATATTAGACCTCCCATATGATATCTGCGATACATGACATCAAAAACTTTGTTAATTCGCACTGTGAAATCGACTTTTTCTGTGCATGTGTTGCAGCCAGATTTGCACTGGGGCACAAAACACTTCTTTCCCATTTCACGACTTGCTCACACGAACAGCATGGACTCTCATCGTGCACTTACAAAGAACAACAACAAAAACAAGAGTGCAACGTGACGACAACTGCTTTCTCTCAACAACACCATGGTCTGAATGGTGCCCGCTTGCCACTAACACGACTGTGAGCCACGTGACTGCTCCTGCCATCTCACGGCGTGGTGGAGCGGAGGAACCAAAGTTGAGCGCAGCGAGCGCGCTGCGGTGGCAATCCGTCGTCCCACCTATACTTCTAAAACCGTGTTCAGGAGTCAAGCTGTCCCTGGGAAGCTCCTGTCATAATGGTAAAAAAAATTGTGTTGACTACCACCGTCTTAACGCCGTCACAAAAAAAGACGTGTATCCGATACCACGCATCGATGATGCTGTTAATTGTCTGAACACGGCCGCATACTTTTCGTCTATTGACCTAAGGTCTGGATACTGGCAGATAACAATGTATCCGTCTGACAGAGAGAAGACTGCTTTTGTCATGTCTGATGGGTTATTCGAATTTAACCTTGTGTCATTTGGCTTATGTAGTGCCCCAGCTACCTTCGAGCGATTCTTGAACTCCAACCTACGCGGTCTCAAATGCGAGATATGTATGTGTTACTTCAACGACGTAATCATTTTTGGCAAGACATTCCACAAGCACCACCATCGGATTAGCGTTGTTCTAGATTGCGTCAAACAAGCAGGTCTCATTTCCATCCTGGGAATGGTGCCGGGCACGACACCATTCCCAGGATGGAAATCTTACGTCCATTGCCTTTCCAGGTCGCCTTTACCTGGAGCGTATGTTCTGGACTGCTCGGTTCGTGCAACGTAGCTGCAGAAGATTCCCCTCCAGGATGGCTGCAATGGTTGCAGAGGATGGAGGATGCCAAGTTTGGAACCAGCCGGGCAGCTCATCTGGCAACATGGACACAGCACAACTGCGTTGGACGCTGCTGACGCCCTTCATAATCGTCAGTCAGCAGCCGCTTCTTCCGGGCACGACACCATTCCCAGGATGGAAAGCTTACGTCCATTGCCTTTCCAGGTTAGTTCCCTGAAAGGTGCTACTTGTGTTAAATCCAATATTTATTGTTTGTTGGCGGTGTCGTGCCCACGAGACCTAGAAGATGTGTTTAAGCGATTTATAGTTTGTGCCTCGGAAATGTGTTATGCCTTGTCTGCCTTAACACTTATGTTGTCTGGCGATGTTGAGCCAAATCCTGGACCAATGACTAAAGCTCAAGAAGAGGCATTTTCTGCTGCTCTAGACACAATTCAAAAACTGGAAGAAGCACAAGCAGGCTTGCTTTCCGAGCTAACTATAGTGCAAAAGCTGGTCATACTGCTGCTCAGAAAAGGATTGATAAGCTAGAAGAAATGCAGAAAACACTTCTCGCAGAGCTTAATATTTCGAAAATGAAACAGGAAGCCGTTAAAGGTGAAATTAGGTTCCTGAACGCAAAGATTGCTTCACTGTCACTTGCTTCTACGTCTGGAAGCAGCTAGGGTGATGCCGAAGCTAGTGCTAACGCCCTTCGCAGTGTATCTGATGGCTTGGCCATACCTCTTCTCGGTGCGAAGACACTGAGAACAAAATGCGACGCTCGAACTTGCTTTTCTTTAACATTGCGGATGACGAAAAAGAAGATTGGGCTTTGTCTGAGCAGAAAATTGTGGAATTCTGTTCACAAAAGCTGGACATTAACTTATCAAGCACAAATTTCGAAAGAGTGCACAGGTTAGGCAAAGATGCTGACAGCAAAAAGAGGCCTATCATTGCGAAAATGACCTTCTATACGGACAAAGAGCGCATCTTGCCCGCTGCAAGAAAACTTAAGGGGTCCAAGTTTTCCATTCGGGAAAACTTCTCTCCTGCTACGCGAGAGGCAAGAAGAAAGCGTATCGAATTCGCCAAGGCCAGAAAAAATTTTAAAGCTATCTGTTGACATATTGCGCATAGATGATGTAACATACGTGTACGACCACGCAACAAGCACGGTAGTGCGACTAGGCAGATAGCTAAGGCGTGGTACTCGCACCGGTAAATTCAAGCAGGCACCTGAGCCTCAGAATTTACCATCACTCACCATATCATTTGCTAATATTCGCAACCTTCTGCGAAAGCTCGACCAGGTCTGTTCCTTCTTTGATAACACGGGTTCTGACACAATCATCTTCACTGAGACATGGCTTCATGCAGATATTTCAGGCAATGAAATTAGTCCTTTACAAGATACCTATAACATTTACCGTTGAGATCGCGTTAACAGAAGGGGTGGAGGCGTAATTATAGGCATTGAAAAGGCAATAACCTATTATCTAATGGCGTCTGCTACAAATATAGAAATTTTATGGGTTGTTTGCAGAACTCGATTTGAGAAATTATTGATTGGTTGCTGCTATCGCCCTCCTGACACTAATCCATCATTTCTAAGCGACTTACGATGCACCATAACTCATGCTGTTAAGAAGTGTCCAACTGAGCTCATTTATTTATTTGGCGACTTTAATTTTCCTTCAATAAACTGGAAGCTGCTTTCATCTAATTGCCATGTCTCCACTGCGTTAACATTAGATTTTAACTTAGCCCAGATCATAAGCCAACCCACTCGTGACTCGAATATACTTGACTTGGTATTAACAATGGCTTTACAGGAAGTGCATATTGAATTGTTACAATATGACAATACAAATATCAAATACTCAATTATACATAAACAATATTGGAGGTTAACAAAGGCAGACGAGAAGACTTACGTCTTCTCATACATCATAATAATACATCATAATAATAGTACATCCTAATACGTAAAATAAAAGGGGTGATCAAAGAGGTGTATAAGGGCAAATCTGAAATAAAAAATACATTTATGTAAAAATGGTGAAAATAAACGAAGTAACAGTATGTAGGAAAAACGAAATTATGCGTACAGTGTAACAGCAAAAAAAAAGTGAACAAGAGGCATACAAAGGGAAAACAGGAGCAAAAAAAACGCACTGATGTAAAAAAAAAAAGTTATACAGAAGTAAGGATGATACAGGAGGCTCATAACTGGGCCGCATGTAGCTGATCTTCAAGCAATGTTAAAAAGGAAGATAACGTCGCGCTTGTTGCTACTCTAGGATCCAGCCTGTTCCATTCATGTGTCATTAAAGGAAAAAATGAATATTTATGACTTTCCGTATGGATGACATGCTCATGTAATGATAATGCGTGTTTGTGCCGCATTTGTCATGTTTGGGTTAAAGATAAGTATTTGGAACTGTCAATCATTATGTCTTTGTGAATTAGCTGGTACACCATTTTTAATCGCGCAAGCTTGGCTCGGTTTTGTAAGGTAAGGATACCGGCCTGTTTTAGTAATTCTGTGGGTGAATCTTTTAGCCTATATTTATTATAAATGCATCTTAGTGCCTTCCTTTGGACTGCTTTGAGTTTGTAAATGAGTTCTTTAGTGGAAGGAAAAAAAAAACAACGTTAGCGTACTCCAAAGTTGATCTGACAAAAGTTTGGTATGCTAATAGCTTTGTGGTAAGGGGGGGGGGGGGGGCTAGTCTCAGCCGTCTATTTAAAAAAAAACAATTTTTTCAGTGCAGACGAGGTGACGTTGCTTACGTGGCGTTCCCATCTAAAGTCATGGGTTAGTGTTAAGCCAAGGTATTTATACTCTTTCACTGCGCTGAGTGTGGCGCTGCCTATAGTGTAGTTAAAATCAGATGTGTGTTTTTTTCTCGTTATTGATAGGACAGCTTATTTTTTAACGTTCAGTGTCATTTGCCATTCTTTACACCATTTGAATACTAAAGATAAAGAGTTGTTTAATGCAAGATGGTCACTATAAGAGTCAATTACTTTGTATAAAACACAGTCATCAGCGAAAAGTCTGACGCTGACAGGAATATTACAAGGCAGATCATTAATGTATATAAGAAATAAAATTGGAGCCAGAACGCTTCCTTGTGGAACTCCGGATCTTACGCTAGATTTATGGGAATGTTGCCGGCTGACTTCTACAAACTGGGTGCGGTCACTAAGATAACCTTTTATCCAATCGACAATGGGCCCTTTCCCCAAGGTTAGTTCGAGTTTATGAATTAGTTTGTCATGTGATACCCGGTCGAAAGCTTTTGAAAAGTCTAAAAAGATAAGACCGATTTGTTTCTGTAGGTCGACAATCAGCGATACATCGTGTACAAGTTCAAGTAGTTGCGTGACTGTGGAGACACCTTTTCGAAATCCATGCTGACAGGGTGTTAGCATTTGTGTATTTTCAAGGTGTTTAGTTATGTGCTTTAAGATGATGTGTTTCAACAGTTTGCAGGCTGTGCATGTCAGTGAGAGGGGTCTGTAGTTAGAGGGTTTGGTTTTACTTCCTGATTTATGAATAGGTTTTACTTTAGCTGTTTTCCAGTCGTTAGGGAGGGTCCCTGACGACAATGATTTGTTAAAGATTATTAATAGGTACTTGGCCATCCACTCAGCGTATCTGCGAAGGAATGCATTTGATATATTGTCAGGTCCTGATGATTTCTTAGAATCTAGTTTGAGCAGCAAATTAAGTATGGATGCTTCAGTTATTAATAGCTGATCTAGAGGCTTTAATTCCGACGGACGTGTCTGTAATAGTGTGCCGTCATCCTCCGTGAAGATAGAGCAGAAGTAGTCATTAAGCAGGTTAGCAGACCTTCGGTTGTCTACATCTATCGTTCCGTCATCATTGCGAGTTTTCGGGTTTATGTAGTTCCAGAACTTCGTTGGGGCTGATTTCAAAAAGTTAGTGAGCGTGTTTGTGAAGTAGAATTGCTTAGCTGTCTTATTTTTTATTTCATGTATTCAATAGCCGTGCTGAGATCGTGCTGTGTGTATTTTATAGGTTGGTTTTCAGCAGTTTTCTCATCCTCTTTACTTTACGTTTGGCGTGTACAACATCGCGCGTAATCCATGGATTACGCTTATTAGGCTGCTTCTTTCTAATCGGCACGTACTTATTTATACAATGAGAAATGATCGCTTTTAGCGCGAGCCACAAGGCATCGATGTCGGTACTGTTGTTACGGGAAAGTTCAACAAACGATTCATACTCATCAGCAAGGTGATCAAGTATATTAGTGTCCTCAGCTTTACTGTAGTCTGGGTACGCGACTATTTCTTGAGGGGTAACAGTGTCATAAAGGGGTACGGTGCAAGATGTGATCTTGTGATCGGAAATACCATCTAGAAGACATAAATTAGTTTCTTCGCTTATGAAGTGATGGCTGAGAAATATTAGGTCTAATATGGAAGAGCTGGATTCCTGTATACGTGTAGGTTCAGTTACTATTTGTGAAAGGTTGAACGATAACATAAAATCAAATAACATATCCGCACAGGATGAATGATGCTGCATTGTGTGCCAGTCAACATCAGGCGCGTTAAAATCACCTGCTATTATTAATCTGGATGACGGCGCATGTCGTTCTGTGTACTCATGCAATCGGCGTATACTGTCAAAGTCGGACGAAGGACTGCGATATACGCAACCAACGACTGCAGTGCACACATCATAGCTCAGCTTACAAAAGATAGCCTCAGCGCCCGCAACATCGGGTAACACTAAAAACGGAATATCTTTTTTGACTAGAATGGCCACACCTCCGCCTCGTGTCGTTCGGTCTTTCCGGATGATAGCGTAGTTGGGAGGGGCTATCTCATCATCTTTAATATCTCCTGTTAGCCAGGGTTCCGTTAGTGTTACAAAATTGGGCTCAAACGTAAGAAGCAAGGCTTCAAGGGAGTCTGTTTTTTTCAATATGCTACGGGCATTTATGTTCAAAAAGGACATGTGGGATGTTAGTTTCGGCGGGAGCGAAGGTTTCGATAGCTTCGCTGCTGGTTTTTTGTGTCAGGATTGACGGAAGCAGATTTCAAGGGAACTACAGTATTATTCTCCTCGTCCCAGTAGAACATATCTCCGTTTATTCGCAGTTTATCATAAGTTAGACTCACTTTGTCGCCAAATTCTTTCCTTGATTTGGCAAAATTCCACAATGTTCTTCGCAAATCCC